TAGATGCAGTTAGGTTAAAGTCCTACATGATTGTAACATGTTAACTGTTACGACAAACCCACTTTTGTTCAGCACATAGTGTACGACAAATGAAAGTGCACAGAAGGTAAAGGGAAAGATCTAAAGCAAAAGGCAAGGTTGTCACTATCTTTATAATATAAGCATCACCATGGCAACAACAAATAAGACAGACTCACAGTTCCAATGTGAAGTGAGCCAGAAGCTCACACAAAAATTAAATGCTGTGGCCTCATTTCATTTTCCATATTGTTCAAAATTTCTTGCATCCCATGAGTGCAACCAAATCCTTCCTGTCCCTGTCCACTTTTATGTTCAGAGAAAGATTCAGGAAGCAATAAAAGACTGACAAAGCAATAAAAGAATGAGCAAATTAAAAGGTATGTGGGGGAGGTTAACCACTATTTAAAAATAATTAACTGACCAGCACTCAATAGTATGGCACAGAAGTAACACTGTTTTAGTTTTTATTCCCTAGAAATTTTTGCCTAGTTTTAATAGCAAGCACTCCTCCAGTGACAGTCTAAACTGTCGCTATCCCTCTCCTGTAAAAAACATAGTAATTTTAAGTACCGTATTTTTTGCTTTATAAGACACACTTTTTTCCCCCTCAAAAGTAAAGGGAAATGTCTGTGTGTCTTACAGAGTGAATATGTGTGTGCAGTAAGTCTGTCAGATGTGCAGCCCATGGAGAAGTGATGGTGAATGTGCCTGTGATTATGTGCCCATTTGATTCAGAATATTTTTTTTTCTTGTTTTCCTCCTCTAAAAACTAGGTGCGTCTTATGGTCAGGTGTGTCTTATAGAGCGAAAAATACAGTATGGACATAATTGAGTTAAGTTATGACTAGCTTAAACTACACTCTACAAAAAAAATTAAAGAACTACATCATAGGAATTCCAAAGTTTTTCAAGATCACAGCCAAAGATGCTATAAAAATATGCATTATGTATTGTTGGTAGTTTAAATAGCCCTTTTATGGTATGAACTGAACAAAATATAAAATTATAAATTTATTCAGAATAAGAAATAAAATTGCCTGCCATCTTTGCAGTGAAAGATCATAAACATTATTTAGACCAGTACTACTAGCATTTTTGGCTGCAGTCTCCACAAAAGAGCTACAAAACTGGATTTATAAGAGCAAAATCCCATGTGGGTTTAGACAGAAAAAAGTCCCACCACTCCCAGCATTTCTGGCTGGGAAATGCTAGGACTTATGTGAACTGTCTAAATATGCTTAGGTTTTTTAGCCACTATCCCTGGTGTCTTCTGCTGGAGAAAGACAGGTTGCTGACCTGTAACTGTCATTCTTTGAGCAATCATCTGTGCATTCATACATCTGGGCTTATAGGCCTAGGTTGGAAAAAAAAACTTCTACAGCTCGGCGTCATGGAGTGGGTGGGGCGCCCATCACCTCTGGAGTCCTGCTATAAGGGGAGGGGGCCCTGCCCAGTCCCTTGGAGACTGAACTGTCCCCAGGCAATCAAATAGACAGAGACATAAGCTCAGTGGTATGCCAGCTGATGACTGGAAGCTTACTCCTGGTAGGATGGAGAGGCTGTTGCTACTGTAGGAATGATGAGAGGACCGCCCAGCCAGAAGGAGGTCTGCCTTGCATGGGCACCGAGGCAGTGGCAGCAGTCAGAGAATGAGGGCATGGGCCACATGGTGGCATGAGAGGTGGTGCAGGTGGCCCAGGAGTGGATGGAGTGTGTACTGGGGTGCACAGTGAGGTCGAAGCCTGCTATCCTCTGGATTGTGTAGATGGTATAGGGAACTCACCTGGAGAGTCCGTGGAGGAATAAGGACTCTCCCTTTTCCTGCTGCTGTACTGCATGAAGGGAGGCACAAGTGGCGCAGTTGCTCACTATGAGGCGTGTCAAAGGCAAGGGCCCTGCAGGTGTTAGGGAAGAGCCATGCCACCTGTATGAGTGTGGACAGCTAGAAAAGAAGATGGGGTGACAGTATCCCAGTGGATAGGGACTGTGGAATCACCAGGAGGCTCAGGAGGATGCACTGGGGGGTGATGTTAGAGGCCCTTGAAAGAACTTGAGTGACCCCAAGACTGGGGGATGGGGATGTGAGATAACTGCTAGGTACACTGGAGGAGCCAGAGAGAGAGATAGTGAGAGAGAGAGAGGCTCATGCTAAGCAGGTCTTCAGGTGGTTTGGCATGTGTTCTGTAGAGGTCTCAGTGGGCTGAGGCCCCTTTGGCCTTAAGAAGTCCATAAAGGCTTTCTATGTGAAAGGGTCAATGAAGGCCTGCATGTCGGAGAGAATGCTGGGCTGCAGAGGGGGTTGTAAGGACACAGACTGTATAGTTGCTTGGGACTTGGCGATTCTCTAGGTGATCTGGGGAAGGGTGGGAGGGAGGCCTATCTTAGGCTTGACTACCCATGGCAGGAGGCCTAGAAGACTGTGCGGAAGAGCTCATGCTTGTGCAGTGCCAAGGAGGAGAGGGTCAAGGGAACAGGCAGAGTGGTGAGCTGGTCTGTTGTGTGGGATCTGTGATGTAGATCTTCCTGTCACCTTCCCCAGCCACTGATCTGTGCCATTCACAGCAGCGATGCCAGTGTGGGGATGGTGATCTGGCTAGAGGCTTCTGTGTCAGGGTGGTAAGCTCATGGTCACCGTGGGGGTTGGCCGCCTGGGGCTCAAATCGCCTGCTATCTGGAGTGCCCAGTTGGTGGGTGCTGAGTTGCAAGTAGTGGCCAGGTTGGGGGAGTGGCAGGACCCAGAGCAATGCGCTGAGGCAATGGCGTGGCCAGGCAGTGGGTGGAACAAGGCGTGGCCACCACCTGGGCCTGTCACTGAGCTTACATGATGCCAGGGAGCAGGGATGGCAGTGACAGTTCCCCAGGCCTTCAGCAGGGTGCGGCACTGGAGCGCAGGCATGCAGTGGCGGTGCTCGGAGTCAGCCCGCACTGATGGCCCTGACGCCACAGTGGTGAAGGGGAACAAGACAGGGCACTTTTGGGCAGTGGGTTGCAGTGGTGCTTGAAGGTAGGCTGTGGCGTGAGGTCTATGGAGTGGTAGTCAGGGGCAACAATGGCGTCAAGGTCTCCAGAGTGACAGGTTGGGGGCTATGTGGGTAAAGGATATTTGTAACAGATGTGCAGATGGATCCTACATGTACTGGCACAGATGTAAGATTTGTAAGAGCAGAGAAAGGTGCCTTATGCCAAGGCAAGCCACTCCTGACAATACTTTCCAGAATTTCAAACAGAGAGGGGTGTGCGTGTGTGTTTTACAGCCCAACCTGGAGCTGTGGTGAATTGAGCCTGGGACTTTTAGTGTGTGTAACAGCTGCACTGGTATGGCACTGAAGCTCTTGCTGTTGTCTCCACACTGGTAGAGGCCTAAATTGGCTGCAAGGTTTGTCTCTCCGCATTGGTAGACTGGGCACCCTTTGGCAGCAAGGTCTCTGCACTGGTAGACCAGGCGTTCTTCAGCGGCAACATCTGTCTCTGCTTTAGCAGACCAGGCCTCTGTCAGCTCCAAGGTCGCTCCACATTGGTAGACCTGCCCTCTATTGGTGGCGAGGTCTGTCTATGCATTGGTACACCAGCCATCTGTTGGTGGTGGGGTCTCTCTGCATTGACAGGTCGACTTTGCAGTGAGGTCAACCCAGCATTGCTCTGAGCGTGTGTACTTGCCACCATTGGCCCCAGAAATCACTTGATGTTGGCTAAATCTTGGCTGGTGTTGAGGGAGACTGGTGGCAACACTCAGTAGAGCAGCTGAGGTTGCGGCTGGGACCAGCGCAATGGTGGTGGGTGCATGAACCGGCCACTTGGGTGGGGGCACATGCACTGGCATTGGGGTGGTGCATGGGGTTGCTGAGGTGCTGGCTGGGGTTGTAGGGCTGTGGCAGCGTTTGGCATAGGGTGGCAGCAGTGGGCAGCAGACTGAGGCTGTGGTGGGCAACAGACCGTGGATGTAGCACCTGGGCTAGGCCAAGGTGGCAGTGCCATGGAAGTGGTGCTCAGAGGTAGACTGGTTGGGGAGGCAGCAGCGGTTGGAGGTAGGCCGTGGTGAGCTGTAGAAGTTTCTTCTGACCTAGGCCTTCCATTGTTGCTTAAGCCTATTTGCATGTGATGCTCAGAGACCACAATGAAGAACACAAAAGCTGAACAGCTTTTCTGTAATCTGTGACTACCCTTGCCCCCAGTCATGGCCTTCTGCCCAATCCATTTTTCTCATATCACTGCCAGCTTGCTATGTACGTTAGAAAACAAAGCTTCGATAATAAATTTAAATGACATGAGTGATTTATTCTGAGTGCCCAATTTGCCCTAATTCAATTTTTTGACAGAGATTAATTCAATAAGGGTACATCTTATGGCCTCCCAACATTGCCTTAGGGGAGGGGGATATAGGGGTATTCAGAGTCTCCTAGCCAACATCCTCTGACTCCAGAGCTGGGACTGCAAACACTGAGCCCCAGGCCTGCAAAGAAAGACTGCTTCTCCAAGGTCAGCCACAACAAGTGCAGGGGTGGTGCAGGAGGGGGAGCAGGCTGGAGCCTACAGCTTACACTGTATCTACACAGTGCCTCAGCCTCCCTCCCTCCACTTTCATGAAAATGGCCATCTTAGTGAAATGCAGGGAGTGAGCTGTGGAGTGATGGGGAATGCCACTGCCTTTCTCCTTGCCTTGCAGGGGATACATGTAAGCCTTTGTGTTCAGAGGCTTATGCTTATCACGCGCCAAGGACACTGGATCATGCCCTAAGAAACTTGCAGCTCTCCACCAGCATGTATAATTGCTGAAATTGCTGGTCCAGTTTATATTCAGGGAGATGGATATGCAACCACAGATCAATCAAAGTTAGAACTGCAACATCCTCCCAAGACCCAGAATACAGATTAAGCTAGAAGTGCACTGGAAATCCATTACAAGCCACATCACTCCAGTTCATGAGCCCATGGCATTGGAGGGAAGCTATTTTAAGGTAGCCTTTGTTACTGTCTCTCACCTTCTGCAGGAAGAGAACCACAAATGCAAGCATCTTGGCATGCAGTTCTTCCAATGTAAAGAGTGTCTGTGGTGTTCGAATGAAAATTTTGGTCTTCCCATAAGCCACATCATCTTGGAACCCACATTGCTCAATCAGTTTCTTTACAGCTTCTTTATCTGATGCAAGCTTGTGATTTGGCCAAGTAAATTCGTGGATTATCTTGTACCTGTTTTGACACAAATGTTTTAAAGCATTATTGATGGTAATCAATCAATATAGAAATGTGTTACCTATGCCTACCCCACCAGCTTCATAAGTATTATGGTAAACAAGTATGTTAGGTAATACCTATAGGACCTTGTTAAGGCAAACTTGTCATGGAAAGAAAACAGTGATATGATTTAACATGGATCTGAAGATGCTGGGTACATGCAACAAAACCAGGGATTTTACCTTAAAGAATTCAACTAAGTCTGTATTCTCCACCCCCACCTCTGCTTTATATGAAAATCAAACCTACTAAGAATCAATAGTTGGTTAAACCAGGATTGGGAGGTTTTCAATTGATGGGTTTAATCTTGCTTTTGATTCATGGAATGTTATCTTAATATTTTACAAATTAACATTTTAAAGTGAATTTGACTACTGGGTTTTCAGCATTTTCCAATTCTGCAGAGTACGATTGAATACGATCAATGAAGTGGTGTGGTTGAGTTGACAGAGCATCAAGAAGAATTCTTGCTATTTCAGTGACTGTTCTTTGGCTGAAGCAGTGTATGACCTTTTAAAGGAAGATGTGTGCGTGTATTTTAATTTATATGTGCTGGGAAGCTCCAGCTCTGCCACCGAGTATATAAATATTTATGGGCACAACCAAACATACAGATTTCATTCCAGCCCTCTACGTGCTAATCACAGCTGAGTAAAGTATTTCCTTGACAAATTTCTTAGGAGAAACAGTGTGCAGAAGGAAAGCAATAACTTTAAAATGTTACTGTTGAATGTATTCTAAGAAAAGGGGAGGAATCAAAGCTTTGCCTACAAAACAAAGAGCTTCTTTACTCATGGCATGGATTTGTGCGCTCATAATTCCTCATTCCTGGTAGTTTCTGGTTGCTTTACATGCCATCATCATCCTAGAGGGCCTCTCCCATGCTTTCCAAGCCTTTCCACAAAGGAAAATAAGGTATTATATTTTCAGTACAGAATGAACCAGCATAGGAAGCTTGCATATTTGCACAATTCTGCTGTACTGCCCCTTTGTGGTAATGTAATGAAACATACAGAAAGGAAGAAAAAGAGAAAACCTTGGAGAAAAAATCAAAAATATTAAGAAGCCCATCTTACCTCCTAAAGAATCTGGAAATAAAAGACTCAGTAAGGTGGCAGAATAAATGCCACATGAAGAGAGCCCTAAGTAAACAAACAGGAGCAAAAAGGGCTACAGATTTGGCTTGTTGCAAGCTATTCTATTCAACAAAACCAAAAGATATCTCAACAAAAGCTACTTTATACAGAGACAACCCTGATCTAAATACTGATATCATACAGCACAGTTTTGTCTTTAGATGTTCTGAAACAATATCTTTTATTACCTGTGAAGGAATTTCTCATATGTTTGGCGATAGGCAAATCCTGCCCGTCGGACCCTCACATTCTCCAGGAGCCCAAGATATTCCACCTGATGTCTGCATCGCTCCTCATCAAATAACTGTGGAGACTTCTTGTCATTGGGTTTAATGCAGCGGACATAGTATGGTTCCTAAAGAAAGGCAATGAAGGATACATTTTTTAACTAAGAGGTAAGGTACAAGGGTGGGATAGACTCAATTACAAGGCTTACAGAAGTTCCAGTCATGTAACTACTATCAACGAAGCAAGCCAGATTGCATGCTTCCTTCCCTCTTGTGAAAATTTCCCATTAATCTTAATCCTTGCTAAGACTAGCCAGTGCCTTTTGCGCACACATACAACCCCTTTCTTCCCATTCCACAGTAAGAGCTATCTAACTACTGTGTTTCCCCGAAAATAAGACTGGGTCTTATTTTAATTTTTGCTCCAAAAGACACATTAGGGCTTATTTTCAAGTGATGTCTTATTTTTTCATGTACAACAACTTTCAGGTGGTGTCTTATTTTTTCATGTGCAAAAATCCACATTTATTCAAATACAGTCATGTCATCTTCTGGAACATCCTCATAACTTTCCAAAACCCGAATTGTGTTGCAACAGACATACTAAATATGTCCGTCTGGCTGATGATCTTAACTGGGGCTTATTTTTGGAGTAGGGTTTATATTATGAGCATCCTGCAAAATCATGCTAGGGCTTATTTTCAGGGAAACAGGGTAGAAACTCAAAACAAGGATTTGGGAAGTGGGGGTTAAGACATTAAGGGCTGCCCCAACAAGTGGTAACAATGGTTAAGACTACTGAGGGAAGGGAAGGGAAGGGAAGGGAAGGGAAGGGAAGGGAAGGGAAGGGGAGTAAAACAAGGGGAGGGAATTCACGATTCTATAAGCACAGCAGTATGTCCCAAGGACCACCATCAGAGACCAGCCTTCCAGGAAAAAAACTGCTGCAATGCAGTCCCCCTACTCCCAGCTCAGACAGAAGGCTCTCAAGGTACTGAAATCTGAGAAGAGATCCAGGAAAATCAACAGGGTCACACTCCAATTCTCTCTGCTAATGCAGGCCATCATATAGGGCAACAAAGCCTACTTGTGCGTCAAAACCTGGCCTGAACTCTGACTGAAATGGATGCTAACCGTGCAGCTGAACACAGAGCGCCACTGCATGACAAGGAATCCATAATCCTGATACTAAAGCTTGGGCCTACATCACTATGGTCTCATACTGTCATACTGAGAATACAGAAGAGAAAACCTTTCACAAACAGCCTAACTTCAGAACAAATATAGGAACAGCAGGCAGCTAAAATACTTCAGATCTTTTACAGATGCTGTAGCACAGTAACAAAATGAGGTAAGAGATTAAGTGTGTTAGGGAAGAATATTCAGTTGCATTAAGTTAGATGGTGGAGAAGACTGGCTTATGAACAAACTGTTAATTTATATAAATTATACAATCCATTCACATCCAGTTTATGGCATTGCTCCATATAGTCCAGATCCCTAGTATGGTCAACAGGAACCACCATGTGTGAGGAAGCCAAAAAATTTATCTAAATCATCTTGTGACTTTTAAGTGAGATCCATGGCAAGCTGTTTAATGCAAGCTCCCTTATTATTAGAATGTTTAAATGAAGTGCTCCTGTGGCATAATCTCAGTTAAATGAAAGCTAACCCTTCTGAAAAAGCTTTCGCTGCAATACTTTCCTTTTAGCCTACTGACCTAGATTTTTCCTTAACAGCTGCATTTTTCCTACCAGGTAGTAGCCTCCAAACTGCTTATTAAGACCAGGTAAAAGAATCCCAATCTAGGGAGCATTAACATTTTTAGAGCCTCACAAAATATATAGTGTCAGCATATAGAAAAAGTTGCCCATAACATGAAAGGGGGACATATTCTCAAGATTAAAATCTATGAATGTACCCGAGACTGTCAGTATTTTTCCAAGCTACAGTTAGTTCAGCACTGAAATCAGTCTTTATTGTCCTGGTTCAGTGCTGTAATACTGTAAACAATCAATAACACAATGCCCCGGGCAATGTTTCCATATAACAGTGGTTTCCAGGCAGGCTTTAAACACACCACCTCTCTTTCGAAAGAAAACATCTAGGGGAAAAATGATCTAATGTCTCAGTGTCAGTTTTCCGATTTGCACAATCAAGATCAGTATTGACCTGCCTTGGGGCTGGCATAAAGATGGATAAAATAAGCAGTATCTAGTACTTTTATAGCACAATTAATGCTACAGAAATTCAGCACTGCTGTTTTTATTTGGAAACTGAAGACTTCACTGACAAGAAAATCAGTACGAATAATTATTAAAAGATATACAGTTGGTTATATTTTAATTAAATACATGGCTTACCTTAGATGCCAGGTTGTCCACTAAAGCAATCATTGAATTCTTGAAAAGGGTAGCAGCAGTCAGTGGCCGCTTAGTCACCTCTGTGATGCTCAGTTTGCCTTCTGGCCACATCTTCTTCAGCACAGGATTTGAGCTATGGAACCAGCAACGTAATTTTAAAAATCAGTGCTATTTGGCCAGCTTTAGGTAAAGAGTCATTCAATAGCTAAAGTTTTACTCTTACCTGTTATACATCAGGCGTTTGAAATCTTGAAATAAGGTATCCTTGTTTTTATCAATGAAACCAGTGACCGAGTAGCTGGTAACGAAGAGACAGAACGAGAGACGTTAATTACACAGAACTTTTAGTAGCAAACTTTTTTAGTAACCAAGATTTTGCATGTGCAGAACCATGCAATATCTTTACTGTTTTCTTAGGCTTTAATATGGCTTCTGGGTTCAACAAAGGATTACAAGGTTCAAATCAACAGAAGAGCATGCCTTTTTGGTTTCCACATCCCTACTATGTCAAATTTCACACATAATGTGAATGTATACTGCAGTTACCTTTCTTCCCTTGTGTCCTGCATTCACACATTTGTGAGATAACTACTCATGAGCCATCTCTCTGAGCCTCCATCTTCCCTTCAAATGGTGGCACACATCCCATCAGCCCCCACAATCCCAGCATGCATCACTCCTTCCTGCATTGCCCACCTTTCCCCATTGGCTCACATGGGCCTCTGGGTGTGTTCTCAGCAGACTGCTGCTTTCTATTTTCCTTGTTCACTTAACAGAGTAGCACAGTGGCTCTGCAGCTGTAGCAGAGCAGTGACCAGGCAGGAGCACCAGACATAGCTTCCTCTGTGTCTTCTGTTGCTGCTGGAAGTGTTCCCTGTCCTCCCTCTCAGAATGCACTCCCTGCTGCCCCGCTCCCATGCCTGCCACCTGGTCATCTGCCCATCTCATGTGCCACCTGGCTGACAACCTGCCCACCTCCTGGCTGGGCTGCCTGCCTCACCCACTGCTTGGCTGACTGCTGCGATGGTAGCCTCACACGGCAATGCTGTACTATCACTTTGCAAGCACTACCCTTTGCACAAACTCTTGCACACAGTGCCTATGTTCCTGTGCCCTGCATGGGGCATGGGGACAACACACGAGTTTGCATGAGGTCAATGCATGAGAGTTCACATGAAAGATGGGTGTTCACAAGATGATAGCGTACTGCCAGGCATCTTGGCAATTGATGGGCAGTGCATGAGGCAGGAGACCTGGCAAGGAGATGGGTAGGCAGGTGATGGGTCCAGGTGGTGAGCAAGATGGGCAACTGACCAGGTGCAAATGCAGGGTGACCAGGCATCAGGAAGCACATGCCAGAAGAACGGAGTAGGGGAGCATCCTGTCCTCCAACAACTCTGCTATTGCTAGACAAATAGGACAGCAAAAAATGGTGGTTGAGCAGTCACAGTGGCCACCCTTGCCACCAAACTTGCTGGCTGAAACAGGGAAACTGCAGAAGGACACCGTAACCAGAAACATGCATAATGAGAAGCAATGTGGCAACATGAAAACCTTACGACAAACCGTTGGCTCTCCACGGGGATTCACAGTAACCAAGTGTGTCATGTTCCACCATGCTTCCAGTATTCATACATAATGACAAGCCATTCCTGCTATGACGTGTTGTTATGTGGGAATATAGCTACTGAAATATCGGTAATTTCAGATAATGCTTCAGCTTGTTAGGGCTTGCAGTGTATGTATTTGTTGTATACAGCAATCTCTAGGATCTCAATTTTGTTGTTAAATAATGAGCTTTGGCGGGGAAGTTATGTGAGTATTCTGAAACTAATGAGGGTACAGATTAACTAATGCTTCTCTTAATAGGAGATCGGCAATGCCTTTATATATGGCCAAATTATTGCTGACAACTCTTAAAGACTTTTTTAAAAGCAACAATTAGCCTTAAGTGAATGGTTAAAAATCTTATAGCTCATGTTGTCATTTCTCCACCTGCATAACTTATCAGGAGGCATAGTATGTCAAGCATGAGATGAGCATTCTTCCACAGCAGGTTGAATCTGCTTTAACCTGTTTATGGCAGCACACTGGGAAATGCTGAATATTCCAGTAAGGCTTTCGCTCACTGGCTTAAACAACAACACTAAAATTCTATTTTTGACCATTAAGGATGAGAGTGGCAAGGACTCTCCCCTGAAGAGATAAGCAGTCCATTTTAAAAATATTATTCAGAACGTGATAGCAGAGTATATGAAATACAACAGAATACAGCTAGTCCCTAGCTTATGAACAAGTTCTGTTCCTGAGAAAATGGAAATACATTTTTAAGTTGAATTTGTATAGAAGTAGGATAGTCAGCCCTCCACATCTGCAGGGATTAGGGGCACAGGACCTCTTTGAAAGTGGAAAAACCACGAATATCTCTACCCCTCTCCCGTGCCCAAATTCAGCAGTGCCTCCTCTTTAAAGCAAGGAAATGCTGGAGATTTTCATCTCAGGATGGGCATGGTGGAAAGGTATCCTTTGGAGGCCTCCCTCTCACCCCTTCTGCTTCCTGTCTCTCTATGGTGAAGCTTTGGAGGCCCTCCCTCTCTCTCCTTTTGCTTTCTGATTCTGTAGTGGTGACTCTTTTCTGCAGTAATTTTGTACACTTAAGAGGCCTTATGGCAGTTCATTTGGAAATACACGTTGTTCATAACGTGGACATTCGTAACTGCCTGTATAATTTTCTTTTTCTTTAAAATCATGTTCGTCTTCCCCAGACTCTTCACAAAGTCTGTTTTGGTGCCTTTGCATGTTTAAGAAATTACAAAAGCAACAAATAATATGAAAACTGGGAAATCAACCAGGCCAGATGGATTTCAAATTATGTGTTATAAAACATTTTTCAGCATTTTAGTTTCCAAATCATCGTTTGCATAACATATTTCTGGATCAGAGTTTCTTTCTCCAGCACTCAATAACACATGTATTTTTGTGATTCCTAAGCCCTTTAGAAATCACACCTACTGAACTAATTACTGACCTATATCATTAATGCTGACTTCAAAATATTGCCTAATTTTAGTCAATAAAGTACAAATCATAAAAACAATAGCTCAGTTAGTCCAGGTGGGGTTCATTAAAATAGAAAGGGGTCAGATCATTTTAGACTGGTTGTTAACTGGATAGCATGCAAATACAGGCTGAACCAATATAGCCACAATTATTTCTTTCAATGCAGAGAAGGCCTTTGACAAAATTTAATGGAAATTTATTTTAGCTACATTAAGAAATATCAGAATTTCTATAATGGGTCAGAATATTATACTATTCCCAAAAACTAGCATTAGAATCAATAGCTTTTTGTCTCTCGTATTCTTATATGGGAGATGTACCAGGCAGGAACATCTAACTTCCTTGCTGATATTTGATCTATGTGTCTAATTGCTGGCATGTGCAATTCTCAAGGACACACACTAATTTTCATGGATTTATGCATAACTGTTCAGAATCTAAACCTATTCTTTATGCTGAATATGCTTTATTATCTTTTATTGTTTGAAACTCCAGTTATCTGTTACAGCTTCAGCTGAGAAAAATAATTTTGGTTATTTGCCTGCCTGGTCAACTAACTGTTCAAAGGCTGAACTGCTGTCAATTGGAGACACTATATCTAACTATGTACTGACTAATTAACATTTTAGAGACTGCCCAGTTTTCATCACTTATTTGGGAATATTCATCACTAGATATATTAAATTATTACAGGAGATTGAAAATGGGTACCTTTAAGGTTAAATACACTCAAGTTAAATGCAGTACTTCAGATTGTTTGTATCTTACATAGCATTTCTGTATTTATGCCTGCCAACTATTGGGTGTCCACTCCATCAGGAATATCAAGACGTAAGTTCTAATCTGTACTGGCATCTATATCGAAGAGGAGTTAATGGATCTTTGGTTATGTCTTATTCAGCAAAAACTTACATTTTAGGTATACTGGATTCCACAGCCTCTTTTTCGTAAAGGATTATCTAAACTGGCTAACTACTGGATATGTAACACAGCTAATGCTTTTCTCACCCTTATGCTTTGGCAATGCACCATCACCACCTCTTTTGATATGGAGATAATAATATGATAAACTTTGTAACAGAAAGTTATTTAATATAGCCCTTTCATATTTACTTAAGCAAGTAATCTCCTCAACTCTCTACCTGCTTCCTGGAACTTAACACCAAGTCAACATTCACGGATTCTCTGTACCCCCTGGATAGCTAAAAGACTAATATTACAATACTGGAGGGCCAAATTGTCACTTCTAATAACACTAGGGATTGAAAATTTAACAATGCTTTCCATTTTTGAACAGGCTGTCTTTAGGTATAATCTACAGAAGGGCAAATAAATGAATATTTGTGAGGGCCAGGGCTTGGGCAACAGGCTGGGAAGGGCAGGACACCGGGACCAGGGTGCTGGTGCAGGGCCTGGTCCTGCAGCTTAACAGGGCTAGAAGGTGTGGTCAACAGTCCAGGGTCAGAGGCAAGGCAGCAGGCAGCCCAAAATGGTACAGGAGAAAGAGAGAGAACACAATCCAGAAACAGTTCAGTGGTCTGACGCCAGGGAAGCAGTCACACAAAGGTAGCCCAGACGAGAGTGGGCTGGAGCAGGGCAGGCACAACTGGCGCAAGCAAGCACAGACAGGAGCAGGGTTGGGGCAGACTAGGGCATGCAGGATCAAACAGGAACAAGGCAGGAACAGACTGGGACAAGACAAGGACTAACCAGGGCAAGGCAGGAACGACTGGAACAAGCAAGAGCAGACTGGGGCACACTGGAGCAAGGCAGGAATGGCTGGAGCAGGGCTCAGAGATGCAGGGGCACAAGGCGTTACCATCCCACTTGCGTTGCTGTGGCAAAGAGCAGCAGCGCCTGGAAACCTTTTATGCTAGTCTCCAGGGCCTCTGGCTGCACTGTGTAATTGCTCCTTAGCTGTTCCTTGCAAGTGCCTGCAAAGGTGTTCCTCGTTCTGCGAGTACTTTCAGGGACACTTAGGCCCTGATAATATTTGGTTTGCCTTTGCTGACATCTATGCATCAGCATCATCATCATCATCATCATCATCATCATCATCATCATAACATTTCTATGCCGCCCCTTGCCGAAGCCTCGGGTTATGCCTAAGAACAGTAGTATATTTTGTCATGTATAAAATAGGGGCACATATTTCATGTAGATGTGTACCCCATATTAACACATATGTTCAACTCTTAGTTTAAAAAATGGTAGTACTTTATGGTTCTATTTCTGATTGTTTTTATTGTGAATTTCAATAAATCAAAACAATTAAAGAACCAAAAACCCCCGCCTCCCTATAGTTCCTCCCCAAATGTAGCATGCTGCTTATTTTATTTATTTTAAAGTATATTCAGCCACATGGGTCAATAAAGCCCTTAGGACAGCTGTATGGAGGTATTACCAATCTATCTTGCAAGGTTGTTTTGAAGATTAGTGAGATAATGTAACAAAAGAATTTGAACACTCTTTTTAAAAAAGAAAACTCCAGATTCTAAATAATGGTAGAATCTATCAAATCCAAAATATACTGTTATCCCCTTATCACAGGGGACATAAAGAACACTTATATATTGTCCAATAACCAGAGCTCTCTAAGCAGCAAACAGGTACATACTCCTATGCTCCGTAGCAGAAAAGCCATTTACAGAACAGCCCTTGCATTCAGGGCAAATTGAAGGTTTGTCACAGACCAATTGTGACATTCAGGTATGGAATGCACTCATTATGCTTAGAGTTTATTGTGTCTGAAGCAATGGGAACATTTTCACTTGAGCTGGGCTCAGCTCAGTAGGTGCCCTTTGAATTGTGCTACTCCATAAAGCAGCTTGGTGATCTCTTCTCATTTCTCTTTCTTTCACTTGCTTCATCTAAGAGCTACACACTTGTTTGTATATTTTTTGCTACAGCACTACAGCACTGCTCCAGAAGTATAGTAATATGGGAGAGCCCTCCACAAAGAAAATTTATTAAGACAGACATGAAAAAATGGCTTCAAGGATTATGGAAGGAATTAATTTATATTTAGAAAGAAGTTATTGAAAAAAATTACAAGTTACTCAGGTTTACGTATAAGTGCAATGAGGCAAATTCAATACTTTGAGTTTAAAAGTGTTCATCCAAGGAAAGTTGGAAAATAATTGTGTGGTCACAGAGAAATGCTGCACGTTTTCCACCCAAACCAACTATGGGAAATTATATATCAAATTTTTAAAAACCCCTAGAGGTAGAGCACTAAACTGGAACATGTTATGATGGATAATGAGGAAGATATCTTCTGCCCCACTATATATATGCAAGTCATATGATCACAGGAAAACCGTCAGACTGAGCAAAACCAATGGTCCATCTAGTCCAATACTAGCTGCACTGTCAGTCACTCTTCAAGGTCTCTGCAGAGGCCTTTCCCAACGGTACAGTCAAGACACTTTAAATTGGAAACATTGTGAATTGAATCTTGAATATTTTGCATGCAAATAATGTGCTATCTCATGGATCGATTGCCATGCAATTGCCATTTTGTATAACTTATTTGTGGCCGTTTAGTACAAAGCTGTATTTGGATCTATTATAATATCCATAAAGTAATAAGAGTGGGAAATGGCTAGGGAGCTGGGAACTGCATGTAACTGATTCCGGGCAGAGAGTCTAGATTTTTAGAGTCTAGATAGAGCAATAGCTTACAAACACTAGCCAAATGATGTAGAAGTTAAATATTTTCAGACTTCAGATTCCCTGCTCTTTGCAAAGGGGAAAGGAAAAAGACTAGAGCCATAAAGCAACATACATAGACAACACAGAAGTATGAAAGCACAAAAATGTATCAATAGACACTAGAGCAGCAAATGCAGGCACCACACTTACATAACATCTCCAGCGTAGTGCTTAATCCGAAAATCTCTCTCAAATTCCAGGGTTTTGTCCATGGCACAAAGCTTGAAAGCAAATGTTTAAAGGGTCACTGTTAAAATGCAGTTGCTGAAAACTATTAGCAATCTTTGCATGGCACAACAGCGCACTGTGAATTATTTAACTTATTAAATATTTTCTTACTGAACCCACAATATGGCTGCAGTACTTAAGTGGTGTGTGTAGCACCATACCAAATATCAACCCCCACCTAGGGATTGTTGTGTCATGTAAATCCAGTGAGCCGAGGTTATGCAAAGGTTAAATCCTCACATGCCCTATGTTCCCCAGGTGAACATGACATCTCGAGTGAGGTTTGGCTATACAACCTGGTTCCCATGGGTGCTCACAGCTCAACTTCTATGCCAAAGCTGCTTGTGTGTTACAGACCTGGATGTCATATTTAGCCACTGCAGCATTTACAGGTTTGACTATGAAATGCCTCTGGTCTAATACCAATAAGACAAATCAATTCTTTCTTTCAGACATTTTTCCCTTTATATTCACAGAAACTCCCAAAGAAAGAAGAACCTTGAGTCATGAGAATAATCTGTTCCCGTCTTTATTCATTGGCAGAATTTTACAATCCAATACACAGGCGACTTAAAGGCCATCACAAAGTGAAGGGATTCAGTATGACTTTCACAAAGGGCTTGTTTTAAGAGAAAATAGTGACCATGTAAAGCACCTAAGGTGGACAGAATGCTAAAGGCTTCACATGGTCAATCACCCCAAATCAGCTCAAGTAGAAATGGGTTCAACGACAATATATTGCAGTCCCTTTTAGTAAAACAATTACATTGTTAAAAAGAAAGAATGACACGTTGCTTACATGTAAGTGTAGTTCCTTCACTGGGTCATCTGTACAGTCACACAATTTTGACTTGCAGCTGCACAGAGTCACATACAGGATACTTGAATGCTGTGATTTCACATAGGAAGGCTGCCCTGAACACCTTACTGTGCACCTCAAAGGACATGGATGCTACATATTCTCTCAGTTTCTCCAGACTGCCACAGTGGCTCTAAAATACCACCAGCAGCAAGTGAACATGTACAGAGAAGACTGCAGGTAGGTTGTGTGATTACACAGATGACTGCTTGAAGAACTACAGCTACAGGAAGCAACCTGCCCTCCTCCTTCAGGGTCTTTCCGCACTACATATACAGGTAGCAGAGCAAGTTAATTTGCCAACAGTGCTCTGGCTAAGACTGTTTCCAAAACTGCTCCAACATCTAGAGAATAGTGATGAACTTGGATAAGTTAAATCTAGACTCTGGAAAGGTTAAGGAGAGTTTTTACATGAACAGAGACTATCATTGATGCCACCACCTTAGCAGAATCTGAGCCGTCCAGAGAGTGAGCGATGTGAGCTGCCCAGAGAGCCCACAGACTATGGGGTGGCATACAAATGCAATAATGAATGGAATGGAATGGAATGGAATGGAATGGCCATATACCACCACAGACAACTGGATACATGACAGTTTGTAGCAGAACACTATAGCAGAGCACAGTCATGTGAAGAGCTGCTAGGTCAAGTAAGAGCAGACTTGCACAGGTCCCAAATAACACATACTCAAATCACTGAAAAGATGGCATCCTGTCTAAGTGGAAAAAAACCAGGAGGCAGGATAAGAATATTTTGGGGGTCCTTAACTCCTGCTCTCTTCAAGATGACATGGTAGCTCACAAGAATCCCACCTTAAGGGTCAGGAGCTTGAGATTACAAGTTGTCATAGTCATAAAAGGTTTTGCTGATGCAATGCTACCAATTAGGTTCTTGCCAGGTCAATCCAAACCTTGTCACCTTCTGAGTAGAAGCACTCAGAGTATCAAGACAAGCAGGAATCAGGTGACTTGCTGTTGAGACAAATGTTGAGCCTGATGACCCCACAGAGAAGGCACAGGTGAAAGACTCATGAATTACCCCTTCCAAAGTCAATCCAATCATGTAGACTTCTTCTAGAGGGGAAAATGCAACATCTGTTACAGTCACTTTCAGCATTGTTACAATTCATAGACACTTGGGCCTTCATTTTGTTACTCCTTGAGCCTAACAACTGGATTGATGGACCCTGGGTTGGTGGTTGTGGCAGATCCACCTACAGTGTTGGAACTGGTGAAGCATGTAAAGATAAAGCCAAGACCACGGATGAGGACACAATCAGTACTACTGGGTCCCCTGATCTTGTCATGCAAGAGATCAAAGCCTCATCTGCATAAATCAGAAAGAACACTGAAGGAAGCAACTTAAAGAAAATGAAGTGTGCTGATCAGGCTTTGGGACCCTGCTTTGTCATCAAATCAGCAACTTACAACTTCTATTCCCCAAAGGATTACTCTCAAGTGGGAGGACTGGTTACACCTTGCTTGCCTGGTAAAGTCTTCACAGGATAGGTGTTAGTGACTAGCACACTTCAGTGAGACACAAAAGCAAAGGAGGAATCAGTGGTGATAATCAACTTCCACATATCTGAAGCTCTTCCAAAAGGGAATCCTCAAGGCCATAGACTCAGTGGCCTTCTAGAAAGTGCCAAAGGTGCAAACTAAATCAAAAACATGAAAAGTGCAGAAGGAAAAAGAGAAGAGAAATAAAATAAAGCAGCACTCAGCTCTACACTGTCAGCACAATGAGGCAAGCAGTAAAAAACAGACCAGGGGAATGAGCAGTTGCCGCCTCCCTGAGTGCACACAGCATGGTGGATAAGGTAGGGGTCCTGCCTAAAATCTCAGCTTTGGAAGGTTCCCAGACAGGACTCACCGTCTCTTGCTACCCTGGTTTTCTATGCATCGTCATGCATGAGAGATGTATTCTAGAGACATAAACTAGGTAGCCAAAGAATGCACGGCACATCTGACTAAGCTGCTGTGGATTGCACTGCAGGGCACATCTGGGTCATCAGGAAAGAGCACAGCTGAACCATCCTAGCTCTCTCCCCTCAACTACTCTGGCTCTGTGTGTATTTGGGGGTGGGGGGGTCAGAGGAATGCAATGAAATTACCTTGTGAGAGGAGCACAGAAGAAATGGGTGGGAGGGTAAAGAGTTCAGAAGATTTTTGAACTGCCCAGAGAGACTTGGCTATTGGACAATATAAAATGAAATATAATATAAATCTGGCCAATTGCCCCTCTTTTTGAAATTCTCTTATAGGAAAAGCCCCGGTTACCATAAGCTGATCTGACAGCTGATGGATGTGGCCACAGCATTCATCAGTTGCCAAATCGAGAGACCTGCAGAGTAGCAGGTGCTTGTGTCTTACTTCACACATGCTTTATTCCTTATGCAGAGATTCTAATGAATGGTGCAGCCTTGATATTGTCCAGATTGGAGGTGAGGAGGAGGCAGGATTCAAATTCAAGCAAGGAAAGCAGATTGTGCGCCGTCTACCACAGTAATTCGGACAGCAAAATCTTTCGTCAGGCAACACAGAAGAAGCCTCCAAATCTAGACATTTGTTTTGTGCTCAGGAAAATGCTTCCCTGTGCAGCATGGATTTTACCATACAAAAAATAAAAAAGAAAGCTGACAACAGCACACTGGACGCGTGGTCTGTAAAACTAGGCCATTAGTATATAGGGCAGAGCCATCCCTCAGAGCTGATCTGCCCAATGCAGATGCCGATATACTTCACAGAGGAGCAGCGAAGCATTCACTGGGTGGTGCAGAGATCACCATCCCCATAACTCATCAGCACAGCCCTGGATGTTCTTCTGAGACCCCTGTCCCAAGGTACTAATGCTCCATTGTTGCTTTCAGTAAAGTGTCCAGGTACCCAGGAGACCCAGCATCAGTGCTGGCTTTCCTCTGAGAGCTATGATAAGGATACCACAACCTGATTTTTCAATCTGGCCTGTATCCTGAAATATCAGTACACTAATAATGGTGTGGTAAGTAACACATGCTTAGAAATATCAGATACAAGATCCAGGAGCTCACCAAAAACCCCTGAAATCCTGAGCTTTCATGTAAAAATAAAAATAAAACAAACTCAGGTATTCTTCCTCAGCATACATACAGGCAGTTTAGGATACTTCACTGAACACCAAACACAGTACAGTCCTCTATCTCCTACACTAACGAACTCCATTCACAGACTACTTAGCCCACAGACTAGAAAGGATACAGGGGGAAAACCAATGAACATCAGCCACACTGTCACAGAAGCATTTAAAAATATTTTCCACTCAGAAATTATAGCTGATTAGCATATCCAAAATCTGCCACAATTCAAGAATAGTAACACTCACAAATTTTCATTTCAAAATGGCAGTTATATATTTATCCGTAAAGGTGATTTCTCCTTAAACTTTGCAATGTCATAGAAACCATTGTCTTTTGCATTTGACCACTGTAGTCTTAAACAGGCTACAACTTTGCATATTTCATAGGAAGTAACTCCCCCTCCGAAAGCACTAAATGACAAATGTCAGTTAATTAAAAAAACCAACAGAATGAAAAGCTTTTTATTTCCTCTTTGTGGCGAAATCAGAGGAAAAGAAGGAAGGGGGCAGCATGCAAGCATAAGGCTTGCTACAGCTCATTTCTGTGGCGTGGTGTATTGCAATGTCCAAACTGGCTAGGTGTATGGCATCTTCTCACCAAGCCAAGCATGCATAAGTGTAAAACTATCACTGAAGCAATACTCCCCTGTCAGGATCCTTACACTTTCTTCATTCCCATTTTGTGTTTTATGGTAACTTTTTTTTCTATCTTGTTAAATCTGGAGAAAATTAGGAACAAATTCTGTGCAAGTATGTTAAAATTATTACCATTTTCCAAATATGGTGAGAGGCTATCCTTTGTTATGATTTCTAGTGAGTTTTTCTTGCTATAAAGTCAGCACCAAATAAAATTATTATGCAGGCTTAAAAATTTTTATGCTGTCGTTTGTGATTTTAAAGGTATTAAGCTTTAACTTTGCTTTGCTCTCTCATAGCAAAATACACAAAGAGCTTGAGGATTTCTAGGTAAATTGTTAAATTCAACATTGCATTAGTAGAAGACTTCTGGTCCAACAGCGTTTTCTCCTCCTCCTCCTTGCTGCTTGAGGCTTTTCAAGCCCTCTGGAGCAGGTGGGGTGGGGAATCACCCCCTCCCAGTTCCACTGATGGAATTATTTTTGAATGGAAGCACTGAATCCAAACCACAGTGTTAAAAATGGCGTCATTACCTTGTATTGGTTAAGGGTAGCTTGTCTGTTTTGCCTAAGACTACAAATAAATCTGCTAACTGCTGTATTTTATAGTCTCAAAAAGGGGGGAATCAACTAATATTTTCTGCTTTGTCCCTCTAGCCGTAAATCTGCTCAGCACATAATAGTATGTATGCTAATTGAGGCTGCAATCTCTGCCTACACTCCAGCTTAAGACTATGACTAAAGGCAGGTTTTATGGCTTTGTGCATCAAGCCAGCCCTTCCTCCTCTTCACTATCCTCTGCCACTCACTTGCTCACTATTTTGTGACATTTTGAAGGCTGCAATTAAATCAACGCCCAATTGTGACTTTTTAACTGTCATCAAATGCCAATGTGATCCATGTTTTGCTGGATCACAAAAAAATTAGTTGGACAAGAAATGTCACTTGAACTTAAGCTGGGCGCTTATTGGTTATAAGTGACCTCATAACTGTGCAGCTAAATTCATGCCTGTTTTTCCCTGTAAAATTGAACAGGCTATAGCACCCTCTGCTGGGCAACAGAGCAAAAAGACATCTCCGATTAAATTGCTCAAACATCAGTGCTTCGGGCTCTTACGCTTTGTACGAAATGCTAATGGATTTCCCCTTCATCAATTTCCTGTATACATGGCGAAGTCAGATCCTACTTCAAACACCTACAAGTCACATCCGTGTCTACTAACAAGCCGAATCCTTGCACATGCTCTACAAGTTCTCAAATTCCCATACCATTTCCCCTGCAGCAGCCAGGGTTTAGTTTGCTGCTGCTGCCTCCATCTCCTTCTCCCCAGCATGGCTAAGGGAAGAGGCAGGCAGCCATCCTCTGCAGAGTGTCTTTGGGGCAAGGTGCCATTCTCATTAGGACTGCTAATAGAGAAAAATTAAGCTGAACCAAAAGCAGATGTTGGCACAGGAGGATACTTTCTAAAAACAACCTTTTTATTATTTATTTTAGTTAAAATAGACAAAAAGTACCTTTCTGCTGGAGAAGTGAGCATGCTTGCCCAGTTTGTTATTTAGAGCCTCCAGGAACATCTCATCAGTGACTTTTCCAACGTTCATGCACGCATCATCCAGGTTAGCGATGATCCCTTTATGCTGCTGCTCCACTAGATCAACAATAATCTGGTTGTTGAAGTAGTCAATCTACAGAACATTTCAGCAGAGATACTTACAAGATGTCTCTGACAGAAAAAGAGCATGAAAATATTCTCTCTCTCTCTCTCTCTCTCTCTCTCTCTCTCACACACACACACACACACACACACACACACACACACATTGTTGTGGAATCAATAATCAGAAATGGATGGATGAAACTTGGATTAAATTTAAATTGCAGGTATTGAATCTAGTACTTTCACCCCCACCTTAGGCAACTTTTGTTCCAACTTCAGCACTGCCATTGCACACTTGTACACAAAACTGATCAACTCCTTTAGCAAAGTTTTAACACTGCTGTTTAAAGGTGTGCAGAATGGAAAATTCTAAGCTTCTTGGTGGGTAGGGTGGGAGGCTTTTTTAACTTTGCACACACCCCACCAACACAGGTGCTGGCTGTTGTAGAACCCCATACTCCTCGCATTGCTGGGTCCATGTTCCCTTTTAGCAGATCATGTTGACTTTTCGCAGACTCACATGCTTCCAGGGAATCCCCTCGCGTTGGTATTCCTCCTGCTCTTGCTTTAAAACGAGCTGGATGAAGAGCTGTTGCAGCTTCTCATTGCAGTAATTAATGCAGAATTGTTCAAAACTAAATAAAAAGATACAAATAATTGGAAGAATTAGTTCCTCAGCTAGGAACAATTTGACTTATCTGCTTGACCTTCTCAAGCCATCACTATCACCAACAGCAATGACAGCTCCTCCTCCTTCACCAGCGGCTACTCCAGCAATGTATACAGAAGGAGAGGGAAGGGGAGGCCACTCCACCAGCCCTTATGAAAGACGATGTACTTTCTTCCTGTTCCTTGGGCCAAGCCATTTTAACTTATAAGACTGAAGGCTGGGACTGTCTTGTTTTAGCAACTGCAGGAAAGCCACTCTGGGGGTCTCTTTGGCTAAAGAGTAGCATACTTCAGATAAATGCATAAACAGAATCATACCTGTTATTGTCAAAGATCTCAAAGCCATAGATATCCAGGACCCCAATGACTGTGTTTTTTCCATGAACGGTGCTGTTGTAGTCTTTCACTGCAATCACATCATTGATGTGAGTTACAATCCAGCAGAAGAGGCGCTCATATGTTGCCTTCAAACCAAAGAACATTAAAGGATTATTTTTGTTTTCATTTATCACAGCTCATTTTCAGTTGATACACATATTTCTGTATCATTCTAGCCACTTCATTGCAGATCTGTTTCAGTGGTTATGATTCTACCAAGGTTTAAATAAACAAGTTGTAGTTTAGTATACTGATGCTGCTTCCTATTGCCAAATTTGTAATGACTTAATTTTCAAGACAATCAGAACCTTAAACATTAATCCTAGATTCTCCTATGTGGCAAAACCTCAACTATGTCATTTCTATACCAAGCTTGGTGTATTTCACCAAAATAGAGAGGCGTAGAGAAAAATCTCATTGCCCTTTCTCATCTTATTAGGGGATTTTTTCCAAAGCTTAATCCAAAGAATTCTGGACTCTCAAAGGCTCCATAAATTTCCAAGGATAGACAACCCCATTCACTTTTTTCCTTAAGGCATCAAACTGCTCAGAACAGTTTTTCACTTGTTTAATACCCTGTGACAAGGTAAAATCAGCCTGAGCTGAACAGGCCAAAAAGTTCTTGAAATATGGAGAGATTACTCGCTTCCACCTGGCTTTACAGGTTGAGGATTCAAATAACTAACATAAATCTGTAGACAAACAAGTAAGACTATATTAGCTATCGCTTGCTTGTTGTTATGTGGAGTCAAGTCTTCTCCCACTTATAGAACCCTATGAATTAAAGCTCTCCAAAATGTCCTGTCCATAGCAGTCCAGCTCTCATGATTCCAAGCAGTGGCTTTCTTTATGGAATCAATTCATTTCATATGTAGTTTCAGTTTTGCTTCTACGAAAGTTCTGTCTTGATTTGAGCTAGGAACCACTTGTTCCTTTTCCTGTCAGTAGAGGGTATGCAAAAAGCTCTCTCACAGCACTGTCATGAGCCACGTATTCCTCCCTTTGCACATTCAAGGAGACAAACTGTTTCTTCACAAGACCTCTTTATTCACCCAAGGATACCCAACAAATGTAACCCTCACAGAATGTATTCCTGTGCATGCACAGAGCAGTTTGTTGAACCCAATCTAAACAGCTACTTCTGGAAACCTTCCTTTTGAGTATGCCTGAGCCTGGTCTCTTCTAAAAAGGCCCATTTGGAAGCAAGCCCACCTCCTTTCCATACACGTCTCTTTAATTGGTGTTCCCTTCTTCCTCAGCGCTGTGCCATGGGATCAAGATTCACACCAGATTTGTCCGAGTTTGAGAACTCCTCTTTCATGTCCCCTCTCCACATCTGCTCATCTTTGCTATTCTCAGAGCCATCTGAGAGCTTGGGAAGACTGGCTCTTGTATCATCTCAAAATCTTGACCCCACATTCCCAAGTTCCCATCACTTCTGCCCCTTCATCCTGTCTCACAATCCAGATTGGTGTGACCTGTGAGTGCATGTCAAGGTCAGCCACCTTAATTCCCAACAAGCACCATGTTTAGAATCAATTTTCTTCCTATCAGCTTTCTTCACTGTCCAGCTTTCATATCCAGACATACTAATCAGAAATACAACAGTGTGGATGATCTTCGCTTCAGGCTCCTATAAAACATTCTTACATTTGAGGACCTTTTCTAGTTCCTTCATTTCTGCCCTTCCAAGTCTCAGTCTTCAACTTTCCTAATTGCAGCCTCCCTTTGAAATGACTGATCTGAGGTGTGTGAAATTTTTCTCAATTTTGGTATCTTCATTGAACTTTACTGTTAATGAAGTTCTGGAATTCTTATGTGGACACAGTTATTGTTTTCTAAATGTTTGGCTGGAGTCCTACTTTTGTACTTTCTTCTGTCACTTTCAGCAGCAGTCATTTCAAGTCATGGCTACTTTCTGCCAGTAGGATGGCCTCATCTGCATGTCCTTACCAGAACATGCGTGTGTCAGCGAAAACCTTTGTGCAGAAGCAGGGAGGAACTTCATCACAAATATCTCAGCAGGGTGTGATGGTGTCACCTGCATATCTTAAGCTATTGATCTTTCTTCTGCCAATTTTCACTCCTTCCTTTGATTCTAATCCAGCTTTCCTTATGATATGTTCTGAATACAGATTAAACAGATAGGGAGACAAAATACACCTCTGACACATTTGCCTATGGGAAACCATTCTGCTCTTGATTAGTGAAGTCATATTTACAGGTCTATCTCTGAGGATTAAGTATCAACTATATCAATACTTCTATAGTTTAGAATACAAGGTATGAAGGAATAGAATCAAACAAGTGCAAATAAAGACAGACAGAAAGAGTGAGTTTCACATTGGCAGAAAATAATCTGTCTCCACCTTTGCAAATGCATTTCTGCCATAGGTAGCTTCCTGCTCTGTATGCTGCTTATCAATAACATCACGGCCAGTAGCGACCGTTCGGAAAAGCAGGGCTTTCTCCACCATATCAGCTTTGGTTGACAACAGGTCTGCGATGACAGATACTAATTTGCTGTTTTCAATCACTGGTGTCTCACCATCCAAAGAAAATTTCAAATTGCCCTGCAGAAAAAACAGCAGAGAGATTAATTTGTTCATTTTGCATTAGTCTGGGCAGCAAACACAGCTCTGATATAGTCAAAATTTTAAAGCAATCACAATTTTCCTCCGCATCTATGGCAAAGCATTTATCGCAAGCAGGCAGACTCCTGTTCAAAGTCTGAAAAGCTATCCTGCCCATTTTAAGTTGCCAAAAAAGTCATACCCAACCAGCTGGGTAATTAAAAAAATTTAAATAGGTATTCACTCTTTTCGATCTTGCTTTAAACTTTTGACAATGGAAATCTTTGTTCCATAATTTATTTTCTGTTTCTTAATTAACAATAACCATACTTATGAATAACATAATGAATTCCTTATAATAAAGAAAGTTCTACATGATCTTAAAAAAATAACTCTTCTATATAACTTTCCTGGGACTCTTTTTTGGAAAATATATGTTTTCAGTAGGTACTGAAAAGGGTTAGGGTTTGAGCAATTCCTCAGGGTTTGGTCCCGTGTTGCTCAGGGTTTTGTAAGCGATCACCAAGAGCTTAAACCCAGCCAGGCAGCATATAAACAGCCAGTGCAGTTCCCTCAGCATAGTTGTAACTGGGCTTTCTGCCATTCCTTTACCTAGTGAAGAGAATTTGAACAGATTTTTTCTTGAGAATTCCAGGCAATGTTATGGCTATATTTGCTCCATTTAAGGAGATTCAACATTTTTTTCTCATTGTTGTAGGAAAATGGCAGGTGAAAGTAGTCCCCCTATCACCCCCCCATACAGACAGCAAAAGACACTCCAAAGAGGTACTCTGTACCTTTGTCATTCTGTTCCTTGAGTATGTTTTTCTCCTGATTGTCCCTCAAATTAACATGTGTGGGAATTGGGCCCAACACCTCTGCAGATGCACTCCAAGAACAGATGGGAAAGGATTTTGAGTCAGGCAATGTTGTGGAGGTATAAAGAGTATGGGAGCAAGAGAGGGAGAAAAGGAAACCCATCTGGTATCTAATCTTTTGGAGAACAGCCAAGCTGGGCCCTCTGAACCCATGGGAACATAGTTTCTTAATGGAAAAGAGGAAGGGACAAGAATATAAGACCCAAAAGTTAGTCAACAGATAAAAAGGGGGAGGTAATACAGGTTTATAAGGCACTCAAAGAGACATACAACCAGGGAGGTGCCCCTATGGAATGACCCACCTTGAGGGAGGGACTTGGTGGCTTGCTCAGCTTGAGACCGTGTCAGTTTTATAACAGCTCTCTTTCTTGATGTTCTAACCCCGGGAAGCTTGAAGCTTAAAAAATATTGTGTTATGCAAAACCAATTCAGAACTTTCCCCTTTTTTGGTTGCAAGAGGATATTTGTAGCCTGAAGCAATGCCAGATTGTTTGTAATTTGCATGATAAAAGTGGATGAACAGAAATATGATTTAACAGCTTGACGACAAAGAAAGCCAAGGAACAGGCACATGACAGCATGTCCAGTAGTCCAGACCCACTTCCATACAGTGGGTAGTATGAAGCTTTGCAGCTTGTCTTACCCTAATGCTTCCATGCCACTAACGTAAGCAACCTGTAGTAGTAAGCCAGTCGTGTAAGCTGGCATGATGGAATTTTGCAGAAAATTATGCCATCTTATGCTATTGGCATACCACCAAAGGTTACTTACGCTAGCACTTTGTCAACAGTATAAGAGAAGCAGCAGTGCTGCACAGCATTCAATGTAAACTCACTTACCAAATGCAGAATGGCAGCAAGAATTTTGTATGCTGTCTGAATCTCCTCTGGTTCAAACCCAATCACTTTCATGGCATCAGCAACAGCTTTGAAGTCAGCACTATCATTAATAGAACACTAGAATGCAACAATAGCAAATAAATCAGCTGTGGACGATAATATTACATATTCAACATTGACACTGATGGTCCTAACATTAGGCAAGGAAAAACAAGAGGCTCATTTCTGCATTAAGCAGCTTGGAGAAATCTACCAACAACACAGCTGCAGATGCTGCAGAATGATTTGTTTTAATTGAATGGCCTATGCTGGGGCAATTTAATATTTGGCAACATTTGCTATACATTATTATTTTAGAGTACATATGAAGATTCTCAATTTCCAACAGGTATTCCATAATGCCACGGATCATTACATGGTAAGGGTTGAATGAGTGGAATTACAGCACCTCCCACGGTAATGGGGAAATGTATTAGAATGGTTTGCCTTGGATCTTGGATCCAAGGTGATTCTACTGCAACTGCAAAGAGATTCCACCAGTGGCTATCCCTGAATGTTGAAGTGGAAGATATGAATGATCTTAAATGCATGATTCAGGTAAGGTAAAACCAATGATGGTTGGGGACTGAATCGACCAGAGGTATGTTGGAGGAGATTAATGTAAAGCACAGTTTTCAAATGCATATAAAATTATGCTTTTAAAATAAATAAAATATAATTGAGTTCAATGGTTCCCAACTTTTTTTCACTTGCATAACCCTTGGCAGGCCATTTCCATAAATAGTACCCTTCATAACAGCAAAATATTTTAATTAATATAGTAACTGTTATTTCAAATTTATATGTTGTAACTGTAAATAAATAGCCCAATAATGGGATTAAGAGGCAATGGAATAATAAGGTGAACAGACAGTACATATATATCTATATTCAGAAACTCAAAAGATACAATGAATTGAAGTAAATGCATTAAAATGGATTCAAGTAAATGTATTAAAACAGAATGCATTAAAAAACTACATTACATTAAGTACATTTGTTACTTTAATTTATTAATAATGAAAAGTTTAATAAGTTTTGAAATCATATTTATAAAACACACAACAAATATTTCATACACAACAAATGTTTAGTGAAGTCCTTGAGCTTGTTTCGAGGCACACCTTTTTTTGAAATCAGGTTCAACTGACGTAAGATACAGTCTTAAATCTGGGGCTACATTCAGCTTACTATGGCATTTATTTTTTATAAAGGTGTAAGAAGAGAAAGCACTGTTTGTAAAGTGGAGGAGAGTGAAAGCTGAGCCTGTGACGGGTGTTGCTGCCAAGTTTGCACACTGTAGTGTCATGTTTGCAACGTATTGTTTAGGGAGGGACTCCCTACCATACACAGTGAAGGAACAGTGCTTTTCTCAAGGTTAACTAACAAAGAAAACCCGCTCTACGACTCATCATAGATTCAATTAATTGAATAACTTTTGACTTGTATTTTGTCTTAAACTAGTGCTTTTTTCCGCCATTATTCAGGTTTTTTTGTGTACCCCTAAATGTCCTGGTTCATACCTCACATTGGGAATCACTGATCTAGTTCATTCAGCTAAGAGTGATATTCCTTAAAGAGCTGAAGCAAAACTCTTGGAACATTAGGTGCAAATATTACAACAGCCACTCCTTCCATGCTGAATTGTATAGAAACTCCCTCTAGATTTTAAATTGTACCTAAGAAAAACTATAGGTCAAAATGTACAGGGAACTGAGCTTTCATAATGTTTTATAGTATCTGATGCTTTTCTCTTATTGATTGGTTAGATTTATATCCCAACTTTTTCCTTTTTCTTTTTAAAGAACTCAAAGCAGCTTACATCCTCCTCCTCCTGCTATTCTCAATCTTATCCCCACAAAAACAACCCTGTGTGGCAGGTCGGGCTGAGAGTCTGTGACTGGCCCAAAGTCACCCAGTTGGCTCCATGGCTGAGTGAGGACTAGAACCCAGATCTCCTGAGTCCCAGTCCCGCATTCTTAACCACGTCATCACACTGGCTCTCATCTTATTACTGACAGTATTAAGCAAACACTGTGGCAACTTTCATTCCAGAAAGTTTAACAGAAAAAAGCAGGTATCTGTAAAATCCTGCAGCCACATGCACTGGAAGGCAGATAGGGGAAGGCAAAGAGAACAAGCCAGAGGGATGCAAACCCCCATCACCAACTGGTTTGCCAAGATCATTGCAGAAAAAATGTGATGCCTAAGGTCCAAATGCCCAGCTCTTCACCTGCTTGAAGTTTCTTTAATGTTGTTACCTTCCCAGGTCCTTTATCTTACTTCTTTGTTTATAGCCAGGACCACACAGCATCCCTACTGATGCCAAGGGGCATGGTCCCTAGTTTCGACAGACAGCCTTACTCCAGGGTTAGGTGTAGACTTTTCTGCTATGGGGCAAGCTCTTCTAATATCCATCTGTACACAACTCCCAGTTCAGTGATTTTTAAAAATTACTTTTACATTCCCCTGCCATACTTAAAGCAGTCACCAGTACATTTACTCATTCCGAGCTGTACTTTAAAGCTAAGACATCAGGCTTTGTTAAATATGCTATGGTTTGGTTAACCAACAAGTAGCTTGCCTGGCACGCTTCTGAGCTTGATCCACTTTTGGAAGTTTGGGTGTCTATACAAAGGTGGGTGAACACAAATTCAAAACAGGCTCCTTGCTCAAGAAAAACATATCTGTCTTCACCCAGTTCTAGCTGCCATGAAAACAGAGCACCTCTGATTCTTTTACTCTCACAAACATAGAGATGTGACAATTTCCTACTTAAGCCATAAAAACCATTGCAAGTACACAAGAACAGCGGCACATTTTATTGTAGACTTTGTTTAGCTGGGCCCAAGAAGAATAGAAATGACTTCCAGATATCGGACAAACTAAACTGACATCAACGCCTAAGAACAACCAGGGCACCAAGCACACTGATTGATGTGAAGCAGTACAGCTAACCAGGTCTTAGCTCAAGAGCACCAAGCAAGAGAGACTCTTAAAGGTCCTCACCTTTAGTTGTACTCCAGCACCAATATAGCTATATGCAGACAAATCCTTATGCAGATGTAAAGAACGCAGAAGCTGTTCAGAACCTCCTTGGAGTAGCTGAGGAGAGTGTTGGAGAGTTAACTGCTCAAATAAATGGCTTATTTTTAGTTGCACAGTATTTTTGCAATTATCAATATTACTGGAATTTGCATAATCTCTAAAATGTCTTGTACACTCTCAAGGAAATATAGAACCTGTCCTCAGGATCAACCTCTATGATACAAAATGGAGAACAAATGGGGAGGATAGATGAAAGCAAGCACTGGAGTGGCAGTTCCTTCACTAGGAACAAAACTGGTTTCCCTCCTGCTGTATGTTCTTCCTGGGAGACATGGAAGTATAGCCTTCCAATGGCACCTAACCTCAGCCATCTACACTGGAATCAATAACGCTCTATGACTTCACTGACATTTGTTCTGTCATTAGGATCTTCTGCCTGGCATTTCAGATAAGGCTTCTCAGATCTCCCCCATAAAAAGACCCATCCCTCTTCTGCTTTCCAAACCTTCCATAACCAAAGACAGGAGTTCTGAGTGGGATGGTCTTCTAATTGAGGTGGTTTCCTTTTAGATCCGTAGATTGGGGTTTGCTTCATATTCAAAACTTAATGCCATATTTGAGATTAGAAAAGTCACTCTATCCAGTAAGAATGGCTGGCTATCCTGAAGTTGTCTTGCCCTCTCCTATAAATGTGAATCCCGACACTGTTTCATCTGAATCAGTTTTACTATGAGGGGCTAAGGCGTGAGGCTGAAAAAAGAATACCCTGTGGTTTTCAACCACACTGATGAGATTCTGGAGGTGAAGAAATACTCATCCAAACAATGACAAGTAGGATCTACTCAGTTTCTCGGCAGATGGTTAGAGAGAAATGGTTTAGCAACTAAAAATCCTACCATCCTTACACACAGAAAGCTGTAAGGATCCTGCAGAAACAACTGAAACTTGAGACTGTCGTTTTACAAGCGACTATCCCAAGAGGCTACTTCCTGTTTCAGAAGGCCCAAGCCCAGGACAGGCATCCAGTTAACATAATTGCTTGCAAGCAATGAAGACAATATCATGAAGTATGTGAAAATTATTTCCCTCTGAACCAGCCTAAGCGTCTCCTTCTAAGCAGCATTAGATCTGAATTAGACTTGGAGAGGCTCCCATTGAATGGGAGGGTGGGGGTGGTTGGAACAAATGATCTGCCAAGATGCCTTCTATGACAAAAAGGCTGCACGATCATGCCTTGTTGTGCACACAAAGAACACCCAGCATGCATTAGGGTACAAAGTGAGATAACCAATTCAGGAGGATTTGACATGTGCTGCAAAAGGCAACATCCTCTGAATTTAGGCACTATTACTCAAAGCTTCCTTGTTCCACATCTGCACACTGTGCAAATAACAACTCACCTGGTAGAAGGAGTGAAAGTTCCGCTCTCCTGGCTGTTGCACAATCACTCGTGACTAGAAAAAAAAAGATGAGGGAGGAAAACAGATCTTCCAAAATATGTTTATTATTCAATATATCTAAAGTCTCTTGATAAAGATACCAAAGGCAGTGTCCTGGCAAGGTTTTAGGGGGCTGAGAACAGAAACACAGAGTGGGGAATCATTTACAGAAATTTAAATACATCAGATTTGTACTTAATTTTGCCAAGTTTCAATAATAAGCCTTTTAGGGAATGGAAGACATAGGGAATTAAAACCTATTGTTAATTTTGTGCTACTACAACATAATCTGAAGGCTGCAATGGTACACATCCACAACTTCCTTCAATGGGCTTAGTATTCAGCATAAGGGATGTGGTCCTACAACATTCCCCATTGCCAAGCAATTCCTTTCAAAGCCACGCAGGGCAATGGAGTCACTTGCCACAGTCCACTCCAGGAGACCAGACCAGAACAGCTAACCAAGCAGGCAGACTAACTTCTTCTACTCCTTTATATCAACCGTGTAAAATGTTAACAGTCAGTTGTTGGCGGTAAATTTCTAAGAATTTGGTAGGATGATTTGGCAAGTTCTATACCCTAAATCTACATTCTTGCTAAAGAACATTAAGTTGAAATCAGCCTATTAAACCTTGATTACAGTTATTTAACTCCATATGTGATTTATAAGAATGTACGAAGGCTCCTGGCCAATTAGACTGAAGATTCATCCAATCCCAAATCCTGTTTCCCATAATGGCCAGCAAGATGCTTTTGGAAAGCACAAGCAGGGCATAAAAGCAACGGCACATTCCATTGCTGACTGGGAGCAGCTTCCCTTTAAGGGCAGGAGGGTACTAAGGAAGTCAAAGCATTCCTCCCAGATGCTGCAGCAGATTCCCAGAGTTTGTCCTTACTGGCTCAAGAAAACCAATCAGGATAAAGCTTTGTCTGTGGGTAAGAAGATCATTCAGAAGAACACCTACAGACAATCTCATACTCAGAGTTTGTGTTCTTTTATTTTGTCTGTGCATCTGGTAGTCTTCTGGCTCTCCTGAAGGCAACAGCAGGATGAAAAGTGCAGCTCTGTGGTGCTCAGAGCCCTTGCTCTGTCGATAAAGCCAGCTGAGGTGCTGGCCATCACCACCTCTTGTGGCAGTGAATGCCATTAATTCATTATTGCTTATCATGACACCACAGTCCCTCACACAAAAATTAGACTCATTTCTGCAATGTATTTGTAAAAGCTACCTAAAACAAAGCTGTCTGACCTCCTCAGTAAGCAGAGCTTCATTTCCCCTTGCTTCAACACAGTGTTAAGTACTACAATTTCATGGGCTACTTGGTACAAAATGCTTAAACAGCAGCTACACTTCATATTCACATTTCAGGCACAGAACTGTTTCTGTCCATGCACTAAGCCACTTAGAATTTTGTGGTAAAGGGGGATGGAATGCCCAGTTGGCTTGTCCAAGAATTACCAGGCCTTTTAGATAAACAAAACACTGGCTACAAGTGGGTAAGGCATGGCCGAAGTGGCAATCTGTTATTAGCATTTACATGATCTATGGTTTTAGGGATTCTCCCAAGTACTCAGAGGCTGTCATAAATTAACCAACTAAATGGACTCAAAAAAGACTATGTTGACCAAACAGAAATTCCTGCCTCACTTTTGTGGGTAGGTGGGTGGGAATCTAGTCTCACAAAAATACTTTAAGACATCAGGGCTATAAGGCTTATCTCAAGTGTGTCATTCTAAGCAGAGCAATGTATGAAAAGCCAGACAGCTCTAAGTTATCGCTGGGGGGGAAGAAGATATCAAACTACTAAACACATTAACAGAAACATTTTTACTGCTACATCAGCCCCTATTTTAAACCATGTCATCTGCTACAATTGTATTTACTCATGAGTTTACCAGTTAAAGTCAACTCTCATTTTTGGCCCTCCAAGGAATAAAGTACACTCTCTCCCCAGGAAATCTCATCAGTGTTCTCCTGTAAATCGAGTGGTATACAATATGGTCAACTTTTCATCATGTGTTTTAAAAAAATAAAATCATGTTATAAAAGTCTTCAGACATCCACTCGGCAAGATCAACTTACTTTTTCCAGCAAGTAGTTATTGATGTGCCCACCTATTGGGTCTCCTTTGAAATCAAAGTTGATATCCATATATTTTCCAAATCGGCTGGAGTTGTCATTGCGGTTAGTTTTAGCATTGCCAAAGGCCTCCAGGACACAGTTGGATTTCAGCAACATGTTCTTCACCCTTTGGAGAGCAGACACGCACAAAAAGCCAAGGAAAAGAAAATCAGTTCTAGATGTGTTCTGCTCCTAAGCCTGCATAACATGTTTTCTATGCAAGCAGCAGAACTGCCACACGTGCTCCATTGCACGACGAGGCAGGCACGATGCAGGGCCCTCAAATGCTGCTCAGCAAAAAACTTGCCCGAATGCAGTTTAAACCAAGTACCATGGGACACTTCATTTTTTGTCTTTTTGTCAAAACATTTTGTTTTTCTGTCAAACATTTTGTCCCATTACAAATGTTTTGCAAGATTTTTTTTAAAGTCATGGTCGCTCTATCTCCAACTTCCACACCACCACTTTGCAACTAAGAACAACAACAACCTCTATCTCAACCTTTCACACCACTACTCAATGATAGCTCTAGGCACCATATTACATTCCAGATGTGGGCAATATTTGTCACTCTTGCTCCAAAGGCTGCAGATACCTCACCTTTCGACTTCAGCCCTCTGGCTTGGATTTGTAATGGCAGCGATGTACTGCATGATGTATTTACTTGCTTCTGTTTTGCCTGCTCCGCTCTCACCTGAGGACACAGACAGCAGAGGGGCTTTATAAGCTACATTTAAACCAACAGGTTGCTGTAGCTCTATACTACAGCTCTGTCAAGCATCCATTACACAAGGCACACAAGATTCTTGCACAGTTTGCATCAACTCCGATGTCTCTGTTTTCATTTTTAAAGCAATCATGATGTTATCATCATATTTCCTTCATCTGTGGTCCCAAGTTTAATTTCTGCTTGAAAAACATCAACTGGCAGAACTAGGAAAGAGCTTTGTCTAAAATTCTAGAATGTTGCTGATAGTAAGTGTTGGGGATATGTGTTAAGTTAAAAAGAAAGAAAAGGTTGGAAAATCAACTGAAAAATGAATGCACTACTTATAGTATATAACTTCATCCCACTAGTGTCTCTAATGAACAATATGTGCAGGTTGGCTTGTGTTTCCAAAAACCTGTAAAACCCATTTGACCAGGGAGGAAAAAAATAGTGAATGCACCATGGGGAATCAAATCAAAGCTAAGATCTTTCTCCAACCAAGGCTGCCTCAATAAGCAGCAGCCCTTCTTTATATTTTAGGGACTCAAGGGAATGGGGAGGAATAAGTCAGGAAAAGGTTTTGCTTGGCTAGTGAAGGGCAGCCATCTCCCCCCGCCACCCCAAGCTTCACTTTCATTTAATTCATTTCATTTCTATACACCCAATACTCAAAGCTCTCTGGGCAGTTAACAACAATTTATACTATACAGTAAAATACAAAAATACAAGAAAACATCTCAGTTCAAATTTAAAACTGTTTTTTTTTAAGTTGAGCATTAACATCAAATGCTCTGCCCCCCAAATCTCTCATACAAAGTTAGTGCTTCCCAAACTGCAGCTCCAGCCTTACTTAGGTCTCCAGGGATGGGGATGGGGGAATGGCTCCCCCTGGGCTGAACAGCATCTCTCTCCTGAAGCAATGCCTGAAGCAGCTTTCTGTAGCAAAGCAAAATTGCCATCAGATAGCTCATGAGCCCACTGCAGCTCTGCAGCCACGTGCAAAATCATCAGGTTTTTTTGTTCATGAAAAAGTAAAAAAAAACTCCCATTGCCTCATCCTGTAAGATCTCTGCCTCATGAAACTCACAATAATTTCCCCAAAATAGATGGACATCTGTGGGTCATATATTTCAGGCCAGCACTGGAAGAAACAGCCCAGCTGCAGCCACATTCCTTTTGCTTCAAAAGTTTTAAAAAAAGACAGAGCTGTGCTCCAGTGCAGGAGGTCCCCCCAGCATACCTGATATTACAATGCACGTGTCCTTTGAGCGTCTCTTCATGGCTTTGTATGCCGCATCCGCAATGGAGAAAAGATGGGGCGGCCTCTCATACAGCTCCCGCCCTTTGTACTGCTCAATCATGTCGCGCCCATAGATATTCAAGTTCTTGTAAGGGTTTACAGAAACGACCACTTCCCCTATAAAAGTGTAGATCCGTCCCTTTTCAAACCTAGACAGGATTAAGACAAACATAAAGGAGGTAAATGGGGAGGGAGCTTCTGTACTTCAGTTCAAATGCATTTGATCACATCAGCTAGCCATTGGAAGAGCACAAGTATTTCTCAGATTAATGAAAAAGATTATTTGGAGATCTTTTAAGGAAAGTATATGTAGCACATCAGGTGGTGTGAAGTGCACTGTATGTGCCTACATCTTCACCTTTTCCATGAAAATGTAGAAGCACAATTAGCCATCCAGAGAATTGGTTTTTATTATATAGAAAAGGGTTCAAGGTCTCATGACCATTTTAAAAGCTTCAAAGTCACGGCCAGCTCTCTCATGAGGTGGAGTGACCCCCCCGTGTCGGGTGGCAGAGCAGGAGGAGCAGCAATTTCCATGCTTTTCCACTGCCGGTGCTGCCACCACCTGGCGCTCCCTCTTCCTGCCTCCTTGCTGGAGCAAAGCAGCACTACAGCAGGTATTCCAGGGACTCAGCTGACCAAACTCTGCCACTGTGGCAAATGCTGCAGCAGGTGAATAGATGGCAGGGCTCTCCAGAGCAACTGCCTCTCACGGTCTCATTCTGTTGGGGTCCAAAGGACTAATCAGAGAAACAAAAGGGGGAGGGATCTCCAGATAGACCACCTTGAGAGCTGCATAGAATACCCAGGTGGCCATGCCCCCTTCCCTGCACATCTCCCCCTTTTTCATAGCCTTTTGGTGCAGTTATTTCTCCATTCTGAAATGATGAAATGCCTATTATAAGCCTGTTACTGGCAGTCCCTAAGCTAAAATATGTATTCAAAGCATTTTTATTCCACTCTTTAGTCAAATCCCAAGAGAGGTTTACAAGAATCAAAGGACAGTCCCTGCCTTCAGACTCACAATCAAAAAAGGCAAACAACACAAGGAAAGGCATTGGAAAGGAGCAGTAAAAAAAGGTTGATGCTTGGATCACTTGCACAGAGAACTGAGAATCTATCAACTGAATTCAATTTGCACTTCTAGTGTCCTTCTGGGCTCTTTTCCCTTTTTCTCCTTCAGTTTCTCTTTTCAGTTAAAGCTTAATTTGTTTCTCCTCCCCCTCGGGCCATGATGTTTCCATATTTGTTCAGTCATTTTAGAATATTTATATACCATTTCACATTTAAAAATGCTGCCAACCAATTATGAAACACATCATTATAAAAGCCCAACAGCATTTGTACAAGTTCATGATTGAGCCAAGTCAGGAGAAACCAATTTTTAGTAACTGGCGAAAAGCACGATTGCCAGAACCCAATGCATCACAGAGGAAAGGTCACTGTGGTGGGAGGTTTTGACTGCAGAAAATGCTGACAGCTGTACTGCTGCTAGATAGGTGTCTGGAGGATGCTACCTGGGCAACAAGATCATAGCAGTCTATAAAGGGTAAGAGACCGTTTGATGTAGCCTAGTCCAAAGCTGCTGACAGCATCAGGGCCTGAGCAACCTTGCAAGTGCCTGCAGAACCAGGAACACCTTTGCAGGTGTTTGCAAGGAACAGTTGAAGGGCAAATATGCAGTGCAGCTGAAGGCCCTGGGGACCAGTATAAAAAGGCCTTTCTGCAGTGCTACTCTTTACCACAGCAATGCAAGCTGTCTCTGTGATTCCTTTGGCTCTGGTTGCCATTGCCTCCATTCTTGTTTCCAACCCACCTGGCATTACTAATTTCCTCCTCAACCCTGCCTGCTCTAGAATTCGCCTGTGATCTTGGACTGGCTTGTCTTTTTGGCTTTGCCCCTGGATTGCCAAATGCTTGTTGCTTTCAGCCCTGCTGCAGAAATCCACCTTGCACCTATGCCCGGGTTCTGGTGTTCCAATCTTTATAGCTTGCTGCCCACACCCTGGGCCTTACAGTTACTTAGGACTTTGTGTATCAATAATTATCCTTTGATCTGGCTCAGTAGCAATCTGCCAGATGGTGCAGCACTTCCGGCACAGCTGTTATGCCGAGCATGGCAAGGCACTCCTTGCTTTGCACAGTGTTCTTGCTAGCTGCATCTTTTCAACCAATGTCAAGGGCAGTGCTCCAGAGAGTGCTGCAGTAGTCCAGCCTTGAGGAAACAATTCATGGATGCTGGTGTCTTGTGAACCACGGCCGGTTGATGTAACAGCTGAAGTTGGTAAAAGGTATTGTGGGTCACATAAGTCACTTGGCTTCCAATGGCAATGGTTAGCCTAGGGAGATACCACAGTGCCCCAGTTCCCAAACCACAGAGCTACTCTAAGAGTATCATTAATCATTGATACCATGATTAATGGTATCAAAAGCTGCTGCATGAGAGTAACAGGTTAACACTCCCCTGTCCCTCTCTGGATAATACCATCCACCAGGGCAACCAAAACTAATTCTTTCCCCTATGAAGGCTGGAAGCTAAACTGGACTGGGTGTACAAATTTCTGAAATGTTCTTCTTCATAGGTACCAATATGTAATTACACAAAAGCTCTAAGAGCTGCCACTTAAACTTGTACTCCTTCCATCTGATTTCAAAGTTCAGAAGGGTCCTCTTCACAACTTTTCCCTGGTTCAATAACACCAACTTTTTTTCCAGCTTCTGCAACCTGTTAAAGGCTCTTCGCCACTAGATGGGACCAATGCATATTATCTGACTGACTCCACAGGACTTGATGGCTTTCTGAAACATAGTCCCAGCTCTTCTAAAGCATTTTGCCATGCCCTTAACCACACAGCAGGATATGACAAATCCTTTTCCATTGCTCCTTCTGAAAAAGGAACATCAGACTAAGTATGCAGTAAAGATCTTGGGTCATTCCATGCGGCTGCTGGTTGTGTTTTCTAAGGCAGCTCATTACTTGCCACTCAGCAGAGGCTTTTACAAGAGTTTCTGTCCTTAGTCAAATGTAGGGAACCATACCTTGCTGCAAATCTCACAAGGAGCTTAGTAATATTGAACCCTATCACTGGCAGTTCTTCCACTAAAAAATACAGGTAGGGTGAGGGAGGAAGAGGACAACAAATTCCCGTTTCACCTAATGCAGAAAACTACAGACACATGTGTGCATACGCATGCATGCACACACACACACACACAGAGCGCATACTGAAAGCAACTCCTTTGCACCTAATGGAAGAGTTCAATATTACTAGCTTGCTTCCAAAGATTTTGGTAGAGTTTTACTATCTTAGAAGCATTTCAATGCACCCACCTTATAGCTTGATTTTATTTTCATTTGTACTGATGAAGTATGTATAAAGTGGTAATAGGTTTACAAGTGAAAAACAAAGAGCTGTGCACCCTTTTCAACTTAAGTACTGCCAACTCCACAAAGCAGGAAATGCCATTCTGTCTAGATTTGATGCCCCTCCTTTCCTGTATGGGTTGGAACAGCACAGGCAGGGAGGGCATGGATGAGTAATTTTATCATACAAAAGTCTTAAATAGGACAAGTTGTCCTTTGAAAATAGTCTGGAAGGCCAGCATAATATACATTTAATTCTAGGGTTGTTGAGAGGTCAGAATCTTACTGGCCTGACTGAAATCATCCCCAGGGCCTACTGCCAGACAAACACACACAAAACTTGAGAACGTGAGCAGCAAATGAGGCATATTCAGTGACTGTAACAGAAGATAAATAAACAAGCATGAGGATTTTTAGAAAGACTGAAGAGAAAACCAAGCTTGCTAATAAGCAGAGGAAACTGGATTCAGGAGGGAAACTATTGTTTGTTGGCAGTATTATTTCAATGTATAAGCACCATCTGCACCCTTTAATACTTGGGTGGGTAATGTCAGCCCCACCCACATCCTTGCCCCGGCAAAATAAGTGAGTGGCTGTTTTAATGCACTGCTTGCATGCTAAATTTGGACTTGGGGGCCTCCAAAGTCATTGCACAGCAGCAAAACTAAACAGCCATATTTCACTGCAGCAGGGCTCTGTAGGGCTATGGAGCAATCTGCAATTTATTTTTTCAGTGGTCACCCCACAAACGCTGCTGTGCCTCAGGCCTCCAAGTGGTGGAAGGGATCAGCAGCAACAACAGCGGTCTCTGGACCTCCCCATTTTGCCTGTGCTTGCTTTAATATGAAGTGAGCATGATATTTTAAAATGACTAAGCTTCGGATTTGCATAGGTTCTCTGGAAACAGCGAAGCTGATACGTCTACAATGTTCATATTCCACAATACGGGGTTTGGAAAAGCTGTTTTCAGGCACACTGCTATTTCAACATATTATAGAGTGAAAACCCTGGATGGAAACAAATGAAAGCCAAACCACTAAACACAGGATTGTATAAATGCTTTCTTGCTGTTTGCATCAACAGGCGCTGCAAGCCATTCTTCTCCCATGTTTGAGGGCCGCAGAAGGCAAGCTAGCTTTGGATAAGTGTTTTATAAGTAGATACAATGAAAGAGGAGGAACGGTAACAGCAGGCGGTGGAGGAATGATTGGCTCCCTAGAACATACAGAAGCTATAGGAATGGTGCCCTCTGCCAATAAAACAAATACACAAAAAAACTATTACTATCACCACCTGGCTAACTTCAATGAGCTATGCTACAGATTGATATACAGGAGGAGACTGGATGAAGGAGGGGAAAAAGACCAGTATACGAGGCACCTAAAAGGACCTGTACCAAAGGAAAATAAACTAGTTATATCTTTCTGTACTGGAGATAAAATCTGGGATAACGACGAGACACAAAAACGTAGGACTGTATATGAATGCGTACTTGCTTGAATTCCATTTTAGTGATTTAAACAGATCATTCAATTGAAGCAGAAGTATCACATATTAACCTTGCCAGATGATTCCAGTACATGTCAGACCAAAAAAAAAGACCTGCATCTGTTTTTGCAATATTTTCTGACTTTCAAAACTAAAAATGTAATGTTTTTTAATTATTGGGAAGGAAAGTGAAGAGTCAGCTATATCTAGTTTAACTACAGTTTCAGGGTCTAATATGTGAAAGAATTTGATGCTCACTTATGGGAAAGAGGTTTTCCACATTTTTAGAAGGATCAA